CCGAACTGCCATTTGCTATTGGAGCAGTTACGATTCCATCCAGGAGGAGGCAGTAGAACGCAGGCACACTAACCAGTTCAGTGCGCTATGTGCCCCTTTGCTTTCGCACGGTTTACTGCTCACACCTGAGGATTTTGCTGTTTGCTCTGCCCCGCAGCTTTTGTGTAGCTAATAACTGAGGGCTTCTTCTTTTGTATTCAAACAAGGTAGTGTGTGTGTGTGTGGGGGGGGGGGGGTCATCTAAAAAGGGAAATGGATGTGCCCATGACCTGCCCTTTGAGGGAAAGGCTGCAGGTCTCTTTAGCAGCTGGGGTGGAGGGGAGCCTGCTGGGCGGCAGCAGCGCTAACGTGGCGGTGCAGGCGGATGGGCAGCAGGTAACACTTGTATCACTTGCACGGTGACACTGCCTGTGGCCACAGCCTCATGCCTTGTTCCCCCAGCGGTCAGCAGAACAGCGGCCCTAAGCTGTATTCTAGTAGGGGGAGGGATTTTTTTTTGGCAGGGTTGGGCGACGACTATATTTTAGGGCACTATTTACTCCAGTGATCTAAGACGCTGGGACCCCGAGGTTGTCTTAAGCTACCACTGGCTCCTCTACTTAATCATAGAGTTTTCTGCTTGAGTTGGCTCTGCACATCTGGATTTTGCATCTTTCTTTGTTCAGGAGCAGAAAATCCTGCTGTCTATCTCCACCATGAGCATGTCTCTCAGGGACATGGTCAGAGGCCCCTGGAGGAATCCTGAAGTGGTGGCTGTGATGCAGGTGGTCAGCAACACGGAGTCTGTGACCAAACAGAACTGCAAGAAAATCCACAAGGTCAGGGCTTGCTTTTCTCTTCTGCCATGCAGCTGGCACAGTGCAAAAAATAGCAGCCATTCATTAAGTTTAAGTGTTGTAACCTTGTTGGTCCCAGGATATTAGAGAGACAAGGTGGGTGAGGTAATGTCTTTTATGGGACCAACTTCTGGTGGTGAAAGAGTCACGTTTTTGAGCTCTTCTTCAGGTCTGTACAAGCGCAAAAGCGTATCTCTTTCACCACCAGACGTTGGTCCAATCAAAGATATTACCTCACCCACCTTGTCTTTGTTGGGCAGCACATGCAGGCCTGGGGCAAGATCCAGGGTCTCCCCAGGAATCAGGGGTGGCTCTATGTCTTTTGCCTCTCCAAGCATGGCAGTCAGACAGCCTTTGGTGGCATGCCTGCGGGAGGTCCGCCAGTCCCGTGCTTTTGGTGTACCCACCGCCGAATTGCCGCGGGACCGGCGGACCTCCCGCAGGCATGCTGCCAAAGGCAGCCTGACTGCCAACCTCCAGGGACCAGCAGGCCAACCCCCGCGGCTTCCCGCCCCAGGCACGCACTTGGTGCGCTGGTGCCTGGAGCCACCCCTGCCAGAAATTATGCCTTCGAACTGTCACTGAGCTGTTCTGTTGTCTGAAATGAATTCCCTGCGGGAGAACCCTGGGGAAACCCCAAGCTGATAGCCACCCTCTCCCTATCTGGCACTAGTGCTGGGTTCATTAACGGACACTCTTCACCTGGGAGAGTCAAGGGGGAAAGCCCAAGCTGAGGGAATCCATTCGGATGTTTGATGCCCTTGTGCAAGACTCTGCCGACGAGCTCAGGTTACCTGGCACAGTCTCAGGAAATCCCCGGCTCCGCCCCCTCCTCCACCCAATTTGTCAGAGTAACTAATTTATTTAGTGTCGTCTCATTGGGAAATGTGGCTGACTGGTCTGAATAGCCAATCGATCGGAGCGCCTATGAATGGAGACTGATACCTGGGGGAGGGAACCATCTCAAGTCCTCTGGGGAACAGATCTTGTGTCTTCTCCACTTACCAGATGACTTTCCTCCATACTAGATGTGTGTGGTCTGCATTAATTAGCCAATATCCAACGCTGGGATTATTTATGAGGATTCTAGGCTGTTGTTGAAATATATATAAATATATAGGAGAAACACCTCCATGCCCTATCTCCCCGGTTGGAAGTTTTGCCTTGGGACGTTCCACCAGGTTGGAACGCACCCACCCTCTCTGGAGAGTGATACTTGATGGTACAACCCCACACCTCACAGGTGGCTTCTCTCCTGTACGGCCAGATGTGCACGTGTGCGTGAGTGTCCAGGTATCCAGCAGAGCACACGCAACCCCCTGGGAAGTGTGTGTGTTACAGGTCCCACATCCTCGCCAGTGGGTTACATGCATGCTTGGGGACCCTCATTTTCCAGTGCTATCCCCCTCCCCACTGCTTTTCCCCACATGCTCCTGGGGAACGAACAGCCCTGAACTGGTCTCTGTCCTGTTCGGCGTCTGTATCGAGGCCATGGTTTTCATTGCTGTGACTGTTTTTCTTTCTTTGCATGCTAACAGAAGAGTCTGTCAACAGCTACAGAGAAACCGCGACACAGAGGCCAGGGCAACAGGAGAAAGCAGCTGAAGGTGATAGCGCGAACAGTGGAAAACTTGGTCACCTGCTGGGAGAAGCTGTTCTCTCTCCACTCAAAGGACTGGGACACATAGGGTCAGTAGGAAGCAGTGTATGGTGCTCTCCCCATGGGTGCCGAGTACCTGGGATTGTACCACCACCTCCGTACTAGCCAGTAAGCAACACTGATTTCCTGGAAACTCCTTGCCTTCTGATTTCTTGGTTCTGCCATTGGGTGAAGCAGGCGGTGCTGGGGCAGGCTTTCCATTGTATCCCATCCTTCTCTGTGGGGACTGGAGAGGGACGTCTCTTATGCTCATGGCCCGCTCTGCTACTGTTCCAGGTAGCAAATACTGAGGGTCAGATTCAGCCCTGAAATCAGCTGAGTGGCATCAACAGAATTTGCTCCTTTGTGCTGAATAAAACTTTGTTGGACATTTCCACAGCGGGGGCCTTGGCTCCGGCGGGTCTGTATGTTAGGAATTTGGAAGGACAGGGCAGTGAGCAGGCAGTGAAAGAAGGGGGTAATAGGGTAACAAGAGGCTCCTGGATTATGAAAATGCTTCTTGTCTGCTAGGAACCCTCTCACACTGTGTAACACTGACAGACCTGTTGTTGGTGGGTGGGATTGAATCTGGGACCTGTGGAGCTTAACTACGTAAGCCCTACCGCATGAGCTAAAGGCCTGTAGAGTAGACTCATTTTATCTCTCTCTTTAAGTGGTCTCAGTACCACACGATGGGACAGAGCACCACACCCAGGAGGTGTGTGGGTTACAACTGCACCACCTGAGATGATGTCTGCTGCTTTCCCGGGGCTGTTCATTGACATGCAATATTGGCTTCATAGCCCGGAAGGTGCTGGGAAGAAAGCCATCTAGCTCCTGAAGGGTTGCTGCTTCAGGAAAGGCTGGGCATGGTAGCCATCATGGCAAGTAGTCTAGGAAATCTTAGATCCCCCTGACATTCCATGGGTTTGAACTAGCTCTCTCTCCCTCGTTCTTCCAACCTGCGCTCAACAGGCTGGTGCGGAGAATGAAATGGACTTTCTACAGCTGCTGCCATCTCCTGGAAAAACCAGGAAGAACAGACAATTGAGAACCACTTGTATCGCCTCTCGGGGCCGGGTTTCTCTTCCCATCATTCTTTGTGGTGGACACTTGCAAGTGGACAAGGGAAAGCCAAAGCGCTGTAGGAAGTGGGGTTGGTGACTTAGGAAGTGGGGTTGGTGACTCAGGAAGTGGTGCTCTTCCCTCTGGGTCAGGGCTGAACTGATGTTGCCTCGTGGTGCTAAGGGGAAGGCTGTGCTGCCTAGACGTAAAACCAGCCTTTAGTTGCTCATCATTTATGCTGTTGTAACTACTGTCCTCTTCCTACCAGCAAAACAAATCCCCTGCTTCTAGAAGAGAGGCACCAGAGCTCGCCCTTTAATCGGTTATAGAAAACCAGTTGTTGCTGGTGGGGCTCCAGCCCTCGAGACAGAGCTGCTCCCATTAGCTTCACCAGAGGACACGACTTGCTGTGGATTCATGCTGAGTGGTGCATTAGGACATTCAGGGACACCCTAGCCAGTGGCTGCTGAGTAAAGTCTTGTATCTATATGAGGTGGCATTGGGACTCGGCTCCTGCTTGCGATTCTAGAGGGCAGCGGTTCAAATCCCTCCGTGGCCATGGCTGGTGGAGTAAAAAGTGTTTGATCACAGTAGTTCTTTCTGGCCTTGGAATCTATGAATCTCCTTCTCTCTGCCCTTCATGGGACAATGCCATTGCTGTACTCTGCATCGTGGCTGTTGGTCAAGGTATCTACTTGGTCAGAAACACAACACCAAGGGCCAAGTTCTCTGCTGGAGTTAGGGAGTGCCACTCCATTGCAGTCAGTGGGCCCTCTTACACCAGTGGTGCGTATGAGTTCAGAGGGAGCTGGTCTGAGATTCACTGAGCGCCTGCAGCTCTTCGAGAACCAGCCTCGTGCAGACAAGTGAACGTCATAGGCGGTGAGCAGAGATCGTAAAGAAACATCCTTTTACTTACTGGCTGCCTGGCATTTAAACATGAGCCTCCCCGAAGGAGCAGCGTCGGAAAGGAGCGCGTTTTTCACGCACCAAAACAAAACCTCGGCAAAAATCCTTCAAATCCATGAGCTTGGGAAATACATAAATCCCCAGTGTATCCAATGTTGAAATGCCATAATGGTGAGAATTAAAAACCCCCAGATGGTGGGAGAGGGGATAGTTTGTTTCCTGAATAACAATTTTTCTCTTACCAACACATTCTGCCTGCTTTAAATTCTTGGGTGTGAACGCCCCCGTGTTTGCAGCTTCTCAGAAGCTTGAAAATAAAACTTCTTCCCTTCCTGATTCTGGATATTTTATCTAGAAAACACGAAATCCCCCCTCTCTTCTAGAGTTTGTACAGCTGGAGTGGACATCTGGGCCTCTATGCCTTGGCTGCTATTTTTAGCCAGGCCAGTTGAATTAAAGCTAGCGCAGGTCTGGCCTACCCGAGCTGCAGTCACATCTTACTACCATCCTTTCCCTTCCTTGCAGCAAAAATACAGTCAACAGCTCTTCAGTCCGGGGACCAGATTTTATCACTAAACTAGAATTCCCTCTGCTGGCTGAAGGAGGTGGTGCAGACTCATCGGAGTATCCCGTGCAACTCCCAGTTGTTCTGTGGTGCTGTCTTGTGGGTACGCTCCCTCTGCTGCAACAGTAACCCTTTGCAACGACCTGTGTAGGTACATCTATGGCTCTGCTTCACTACAGTGTCTCGCAGGCATAAAGGAGTTTACCCGCACAATACCCCTGGGAGCAGAGAAGTGCTGTTATCCCTGGAGTACAGATGGGGAACCGAGGCGCAGAGAGACCAGGGTACGTTTACACTGCAAAAAACACCCAACAGAACCCTGCAGCAGCGGGTTTCAGAGCCCGAGCCTACAGATGCAGGCTGACGCTAAGGCACTAAATGTAGCCGTGCAGGTGTTCCCGCTTGGGCTGGAGCGCAAGGTCTGCAAGCCCCCAACTCCCCAGGTTTCAGAGCCCCAGTGGGAACATCTACACAGCTATTTTTAGCACCATCGCGTGAGCTCGGAGACTAGCTACTGCAGGGTGTTTTTTGCAGTGTAGATGTCCCCGAAGTGACGTGCCCAAGGTCGCTCGCAGAGTTGGTAGCAGGCCCAGGAAGAGAAGCTCCCGGCCCTCGTTTGAACTCCTGGATGATGAGGGAGAGGTGAGTGGCACTGCATTCAGAGAAGTGGCATGTGCTCTCTGTGTGCCTGACAGGCCCATGAGCCCCCCATTCCGGAGCCACCATGGCTACGGGAGAGCAAGCCGCATCCCATGCCTCTCACACCTCCCACACCTGTCCCTGCTGACACAACCTAACTGCTGCCGATAGTGGAGTTCCTAGAGTAACGGTGACAGTCTGGCTTAGTGGGTAAAACAGAGGGCTGGGTGGAATCACTCTGCTGGGTTCTGTTCCTGACTCTGCAGCTGGCTGGCCTTGGGCAAGTCACCCAGCCGGTCAAGCTTAGTTTCTCGTGCTGTAAAGCAGGTATGATGCTAATCGCAGGACTTGTCATATGAACTTGGAGCAGGGGCCAGTCTAGGCTGGTACCTCTCTCTGACTCTGGCTGGAACCAGGTGCTCCAGAGCAAGGTGCAAAGAACACGGCAGCAGGCAGGAATGGGAAAACCTACCCATGGGGCATGTTTCCTCGTGACCCCGGTTAGTTAGAGTCTGGCTCATGCGCTGAAGCATGAAGGTTTCGATCCCTGGGTGGTTTTTAGTCCTACTGTCCTTTCCCTATCAATGCCCAAACCTGGTCTGAACCCTGCTAGGCATCCGGCCTCAGTGCTATCTTGTGGCAGGGGGGTCCGCAGGCTAATTATACCCCGGGTGAAAAAAATCCCTTGATCGGTTTTAAGTGAACCTCTCCCAGACTGCCTCCGAGGGAACTGTAGACATGCAAATGATTCTGCTGGGTTTCTTCTAGCAAGGATGGCTTGTACCCTGAGCCAGCCTGTTAGGATCCGGATGGGGTGAATAAACGTGGAGCCCTCTGGGTTGTTCCTGGAGAGGTGGCAGGTCAGAGAAGCGGCACCTAGGGCTGGGTGGTCCATTGCCAGCATGCTGCTGCCCGTCCGTTTGGAACGGAGCCAGCCTCCCTTGTTCCGGGACACCGCCCTGCCCAAGCGAGGGAGGCAGGCTCAGACAAGGGCTGTGACTATCCTCTCGAGCCAGCCCACACCGGAGCGACAGCCGCGAGCGGCCCAGGGACCCCACGGGGCTGCTCGTCATCGACCCAGCAAAGCGGCCCCGGAGCGGTGCGGCTGGCACTGCTCCTGGAGGGTTAATGGGCGTGGCAGGTGTGGCCTCTGCCCTCTCCTGCCCCCAGTCACCGTCAATGCACCCGGGGAATGTGTGATAACACGATGGCGGTGGCTCCAGCTAGCCCCTCTGGGCCTGATCCTGAGGGCCCTGCGGTCAGTGCACTGAGCAGCTTCAGCAGGGAGCAGGTGAGTGGGGCCAGCTGGAGAGGAGCTCAGCCGGCAGCTGCTTCCATCGGGCCCTGCCCCGTCCCTTCCCTTTTACCCTCATGTGTTCCTTGGCTTCCCCACCCCTCTCCGTCTCTGCACTCCTGCCCCCTCCTTCGCCCTGCCGCTGTGCGGTGCCCTGGCAACCCCACATCCCTCCCCTTCCCGACGCCGCAGGCTGCCTCAGTGGCTAAGGTTAGTCCCCGAACTAACTGTTGGGGGAGGGGCTCCTCCTTATGACACCCCCCCCCCCAAGAGACGGCGATCTCCCTCCTATGCACTTTCCCTGCCCCCAGCAAGCGGGGAGAGCATGGGCTAGTGGTTAAAGCAGTGAACAGGGCCGGAAGGCATCTCCCCCCAACTCTGCCACTGGCCTTCTTTGTAACCCTGGGCAAATTCCTGCCTTGCTCCCTGCCTGGGTTTTCCTAGCTGTGAAATGGGGATAATCACTCTTTATTTAATACTCAGGGGCAGGGAGTGCCCGGAGGCCCTGCTCAGGATCCCACGTGGGCTGGGTGCCGTACAAGCACAGAAGGACCTGGCCTGTGCCCCCGAGAGCTTCCCCTTCCTGCTGGGCTGAGCCCACCTGACTGTTTGCAAAGTGCTCGCAGCCCCTCTGCGAGAGGACTTTTCCTCCCGAGGCCCGAGTCCAGCTCCCAGCA